AACTTTATATCAACAAAGCCTATCATCCAACACACCTAAAAGTGAAGTTTGTTTTAGGAAAAAAAATATCCTTGAATTTTTGAACGCGAAAAACCAAAACACTGTATTTTAGAGTAAACAATCTTAAAAAAGTGTCCGAAACAAAGCCGTCTTACTCAAAAACTATTTGCTTGTTTTTAAAACAATTCAAGGCGATGATACCTGTATCCCAAGGCAACAATAGTAATTGTAATAGTAATTGTTTGAATATCAGATAAAATTGAAGTAAGATAATTGAGTTTAAATTTGACCTGTTTTTACGCATCCTGCAGTAAGTGTGAAGTAGGTGACATTTAATGACCTATTAACCGATATAGTATYGATGACTTTGAAAAGCCGATTATATTTTCTTAATCCTCTAATATAGCCACTGTAACTTTCTATCAAAAAAAATCCGTGGGCAAAATCACGCGATCGAAAATAAACTGATAATTCGTCCGTAAAATTGCTTAACTGCCTTGACAGCTCCAAAAGTACAACAATAAAGCTCTGAGACAAAAATTGAGTTTAAAATCAACTGCCGTTTATAGCGTTTTGTTAATATATCGCCTTATTTTGTTGACAATGTGTAATATGCTAATTACGAAAAAAGTACAGTACGCTAATATGTTGGAGTACTTGTCTAAAAGTAGCCTTTTGAAAAGTAGCCTTTTTTTTCTAAAAGTAGACTTTTGAAAGGATGGAAAACTTAAATGAGTGAAATTGTTGATCCTCGTGCATAGAAGTAACGATATGATTATACTTAAAAGGCATTGACAAGGTGCCGGTTGTTTTTATACCGTGACATGGGTGGTCTTTTAGATTTCTAGTCTTACTGTGTACACTAAATGGATCTAAATGACACCAACGTCTACTCGCAATTACTCATTTACTTTCAATTTCTTTTAAGAAAATAAACTATAGATATATACATTGATATTGTATATTACTTACATCTTGTATTACTAATAAATGTATCGTATATTRCTTATTTTTACATTCACATGTTGAAAGAAATACTTGAATTGCTTCTTCATAGTCAGTCTTCTTCCTTCCTCTGGCTTTAAGAGAGAAATGTGTAGCTATGTTTCTAAGCTCAACCATTTTTAGGGATGAAAACTGGCTTTTGGTCATCTCGCAGATATTTTTCCCAGAGTAACGCATTGGATGTTGACGGAGTGGTGTGTTTGTAGCAGCGAGTACCTCGGCCAAGAGCTCTTTCACGTTGTCTATGTTCATCAGCTTCCTCGTCAGATAAAGATACATCTTTCATCTTTRCTGAAAGGCGGGAAAAAAGGACTGTATCTGCTGTGGCCGTAGAAACTCATCTACTGTAAAAACACGCTCCCCACTCTCATCTTTCAAAAATCTCATCTCTTGAGCCACATCTTCGCCGGTGCGCTTACACCCTGTTTGTTCTCCTTCAAAAAACTTCTTTTTCATGTAATCTTTTTGTTTCTCGGTGAAGCGCTTCCGTGYACAATGTACAACCAGCTTCATGCAAAGCCCATCCTTCTATAACAGGTTTGTAGCCTACATCAGTTGAGGTGCTGTGTGGCAACGTGACGCTCCCTTCTGCGCCTGCTTCTAATCGTTCAGCGTAACCAATCTTGGCTTTGTCAATTAAGCATCGCTTCTCTAGTTTGTACTCATGTTTAACATATGTTAGGTGTTGCTGSAGCCTGTTGTACGTTATGTATGACTTAACATAACCATCCTCTGTACAAGCGAATAAGCTGCTGGTCTCTGTTGTCTCGTCGGTATGGTCATTTTCCTCGACAAGGACAGGATCAGGATGAGGATCAGTACTACGTGTAGTTTTAGCCTTACTTCTGCTTTTAACTGGGATGAATTCCCCTTGGCTGATCTGGTCACATGAAATCCACGGAAGCTTTTTGATCTCATCTATGGCTAAAAAGGGAAAAGTATAAAACGAACGTAAATGGCTTTTGTAGTAACCAGTAAAAGTAGTTATGAAGTGGTGCGCTATATATTGACATAATAATGGACTTCAATTGTTTAGTTTATTAGCATCCATCAAAATAAAAAGCTCTGCCCCAGTACATGTGTCCTAAGGTCTCCCAAACCCTTCAAAATCTGACCACTTCCAAGACTTTCCCTTTCCGACTTGGTACGCTTTGAAAGCGTTAACAATAACAATAATAATAATCTAAGCTTATACAGCACTTATAAAACCTTTTTCTAAGCGCAAAAAAAAAAAGATAAAAATTAAGGTAAAGAAAGTTACAATAGAGTTACAGATCATAAGTTTGTTTAAATAAGAAGGTTTTAAAGAGCAGTTTTAAAATCATCAAGTGAAGAAATGTYTCTGATTGAAGATGGAAGTGAATTCCATAGAAAAGGTCCAGCAACACTAAAAGAACGATAACCATAACTTTTGAGATTGTAAGACTTGGAAGACAGTACCAGTTGAGAAGACGAACGAAGGCAACGAGAAGGACGATATTTTTCAAGCATGTCTTGAACATAAATAGGAGCCAGGCCATGAAGAGCTTTGAAAGTCAGAAGGAGAATTTTAAACTTGACACGTGCGGAGACAGGAAGCCAATGAAGATCGATAAGTAGAGGTGTAATGTGGTCACGTTTTTTAGAAAGCAYGATAAGAYGGKCACAGGCATTTTGGACAGCTTGTAGACGATCCATTAGATATTTAGGGAGGCCATATAGTATAGAATTGCTTTAACACCGTTCTTTGTGAAGACGAAGCAGGTAACTGAGACTTGGATGGTGACAATACTGCTGGTACTGCGCAATCAGTCGTGTGGGTTTCAGTGTGCGTATTACATTTGGTATCTGTATTTCGGTCTTGTTAGATAATTTAAGTGTTCGTTGTCCAAAAGGAAGGTCTTGTACGATATTTGATGCAGTAATGAAGTTGAGAAAGTGCTCCAACTTTTAGGGGTCAACCCTGTCCCTTACTTTCCTATCTGGTGTCTCTACTGGCTGGCCAGCCCCAACCTCCAGAATGTATCTCCTAGCGGCGGTGTACTGATATCTAGTAAGGTCTGGTATTTGCGTGCGCAAATCCTGGTAGGACATCTTACCAGCCACTAAACTTAGGAGTTGTCGTCTTGTCTCACGCTTTGATGCTTTTTTGTAAGATTCAGCAATGGCCAATAGTAGCTCACTGTTTATTGATTCTTGTCCATCCAGAGAGTTCTCTACTAGGTTGCTGCTTTTACTTGCTTTAATTTTCAAGATTACGTCATTTTATTAATTAGGTGGGCAAACATCAAGAAACTCTTTTTGTAATACATGCCTATGTATCAACCATGTCAATGTGATGAATATAACAGCCTAACTTATTGAACGATATGAAAGAAGCAAAGGGGATTATATTTGAACGGTTGAAACTAGCTAGCTCCRTTGGCACCTTCACCTCGTAGGGTAAGCTCCTGCGCAATTTACACAGAGAGACAAAAGGGTGCCTKTGGAGGAGGCTAGGTTAGATCCGCGTTAGCTCACCTGATCCAAGAGGAAGAAACACGTCGGTCTTTCAAATATAACTTGCGATAACGCTTTGCTAATTGCTCGATCGCGCTTCGCTGGTCGTTCAGAATGTGCGATAATTGACGGTGGAATCTGACACGTTTTTGTCTGTGATCTCCAATATATACCTWGGCCATCTCGATGCTTTGGGCAAACTGTTAACTCGGCCTTGTTTATAACTAATTCAAATATTCCTTGGAATTAAATAAAAAACACGTATAAGCTTCTTCACAATCAACTACTTACCAGCTCTGTAAAGAATGAGATCTCCTTCAGATGCGATGCCCTCCTTATTTATATTCATCATTCTGAGATGAGCGGTAATCAAACATAGTATGTGGACAAGTGACGCTAAGTCATAACGTTGACATCTCAGGTCAAGAAAATACTTTACAAAGTAAATGATACTATAATATCATTAAACTCGCCTTTTTATTATTGAAAAAAATGTTTCTTCTTGTTCTAATTTGAAATCTTTGCCCACACAAGACTGCCTAACTCTAGAAAGAGCATTGATTTAGTTTCGTAAGCATATTAATCGAATCACCAAGCGATCTGCACATGCGCRTACTTATGATGCCTAGACTGATGCATTCCGATGAGATCACAGATACCACATTTGTAAACGAATACTTTTTTTGTCATATAAAAGCCAAGTAGCATATAACATTTACTAACGATATTCGTACATCTATAGGATTGAGATCGATTGAGCTTCCGGTAAGGTAATAACACAGTCAACCCAATAGTTATTTATTAAATTCTTAACTTCCGGTAGTCCAAACGCGACGTGATAGATAGATAGATAGATTGACTAAAAGGTAAAGCTTAAGTCGACATAGCCTTCGGCTAGCCCGACTAATTATCTTACTTCAATTTTATCTGATATTCAAACAATTACTATTACAATTACTATTACTATTGTTGCCTTGGGATACAGGTATCATCGCCTTGAATTGTTTTAAAAACAAGCAAATAGTTTTTGAGTAAGACGGCTTTGTTTCGGACACTTTTTTAAGATTGTTTACTCTAAAAAACACTGTTTTGTTTTTTCGCGTTCAAAAATTCAAGGAATTTTTTTTCTAAAACAAACTTCACTTTTAGGTGTGYTGGATGATAGGCTTTGTTGATATAAAGTTTGAGGTAGGACGATTTTTGGGCTATTTTCATATTTGCTCGAATCTAACAGGCACAGCCACTTAATGGCAAAAATACAATGCTTTTTTACAAAGATCAAGGCAAAATTCGCGATCATTCAAAATTTTCATTTCCCTATAAATAGTCCAAAAACCAAAACCTATATTGATCGCTATTTAAATAATGTAAAAAAATGAGATTATGGGTAAAAAAATACAAACAACAAAAAGTGAGCTCAACTTAAGTCTGAAACAGTTTTTCTGGAGATTAATGGTTCTCTTATATTGGCTTGCCACATGGATATAGACGATGACACTGAATGTTTTACTTAACAGGAAGCCAAGGAAAAGTGGCTCATATGACGCTATCGAAGCCACAATGTCCGAAAAAGACAAAATGCTAAGAGAGAAAGAACTAGAGGTAAATGTAAATTTTTGCTTCCTGTGCTTACGCCTTTAAACGTAAAATAAATATGGCGGAAAGATTTCAATTTTTTTTCCGTTTTCCATGAGCATATTCATACATCGATCCGTTTTGTTTTACTCCTCGTTGAAAACTGAAAATGTTTCTGACATACTTGATTTACTTTGGTATCAACAACTCCAAATCAATCAGATCTTCGACATATTCATTAACTCTATATTTCTTATTTTTTCAAGCTCAAAAGAATGCAGGAAATGTTAGCAAAAATGCAAAAGGAAATACAGGCTTCCAAAGTGTAGGCCTGTGGCAAAACATATTCAGCCCAAGAATAGAAGAAAATGGACTTAATTATAATAAAGATGTCATGGACTTACATTTCTTAGTGCAATAACAAATGCAGATGACTGTACTATTTATCAGGAATTCTACCAATCATAAGTGAAATTCGCTACTCTGGTTATCACAATGTTCTTTTTTTACTGAAAAGCTGACGTTTGGTTAGCGACCATTATTCGCAATCTGAAGAGAAGTAACAAAGAGCAAGATTGAAAGACATGCCTCAAGTCTTTCCTTTGTGCACACATCGGGATTGGGAATTTGAATTTGAATTTGAAGCCGTGTCGATTGTGTTTTTCGTCGGTTTGTCTCCAACCTTGTAAGGGAAAGTTTACCATAATGAGCTGAAACTTCACAGGGGTGTTAAGAAAAATAACAAGAACACTATGTTGTAGTTTGAAATAATTTTATTCAGTTTTACCACTTTTATTGAACTTTTCGTTTTTCACTGCCAAGTCCAGTGCTTTGGCTACCTGTGGGACAACATGGCTGCCATTACGTTTCCTGATTAGCCAATCCCGCGCGCGTGAATGGCGTGTTTGATTTGTCGGAAATATGAATACCACAGCTAACCAAAGGCCGCCCAACTATTGTTTAAAAAAGGAAAAGAACGAATGTGCACGCTTTTAATTTACGCTAGTACTGTTATCGGCGCGCGCTCAAAATGCGGGTTACCTGTGGTATGATGTCAGTGATCCCTTGCTTCGCGGGATCAAAAGCAAGTCTGTGACGACAAGGTATGAAACACTGGTCACGTGACAAATATAATTTTGCTCCTTTTTCACCGAAAAACAGCAGAAAACGACGATTTTCTTTTAAACAATACATCGCCAGATGTCCTAACTACCTCATGATTTTCAGTGCGAAATGTTCATTACATGTCGAGAAAATGAACATTAAGCATTTTACTCGACGTGGACCGATGTGTGCCATAGGCTACCCAACTATTGCTTGAGAGAAAGAAAAGAACGAATGCGCACGCTCTTACGCTAGTATTAGTATCGGCGCGCGCTCTCAGTGAAATGCGGATTACCTGTGGTACTACGATCCCGTGCCTCGCGGGTTACAAACTAGTCTGTGACAAGGTATGAAACACTGATCACGTGATGGATCGATGTGTGCACCAGGTAGCTGGGCATAACATATGAAACTAKTACGTCATCATCGGAAAGCAAGCGGGCGAGCAATAGACGAATAATCTCCGAAGACGGAGTATCCCGATTAGCTTTCTAGTCGTTTTTGATTGATTTTCAAACTCGATATTTTGTATTTTAAACTAAAAARGGGAGAAATACTAATATAAAAATGTTTTTTGAATAAACAAGTCGAGGAAATAGATGGACAATTGTGTTCCCTCATTTAACATTCTATTGATTACAACAGTGTACAGCTTAACGTAACAGTGTGGAAATTTCATTGACAAAAGGTCTGTCAAATTCAAGTTCAAAACATGCACTTTAAAAATTATACAGTTATGTAAACAAATGACAAATGTAAAGACAAACAAATTGATAAAAAGCTCCTTTTTTGTCTTTTTCACGTTCGGCCCTTGGAAAATACACTTCCTCGTCATTTTGGTTGCTGATTATCTCAAAAACTAAAAATACATCAACTATTTTTCGTATTTAGAGCTAGATTCTTATCAATATTGAACAACTAAAACGATTTGAAAAGTTAAGTGATATAAATTGGCTCGACGTTCTAGGAAATAGTAAATAATCATATCTTTTTGCTCTCTTGACTTTGTTTCGCTCAGTTATTCAACTTACGCCTGAGTTTGACGGCTAAAAAATATTGTTGAAAAGGTGGTTTGTCTTCTTCATTCTGCACAGAAGCATCCATGAACCATGCAGAATTAAACAGTTTGAGGTTATTTTTTGTGAACTTCGAGATGTTTTCCGCCGAATTATCTTCCATTTCACTTGTGGATTCAGTTCATTCTTCCGAAAAAAAACAATGTGTGGTAAACTTTTTGGCGATTACGAAAATAATGCGTGAAAATCTCAATGGTTCACGATAGTTCCCGACAAGYTCACAAGTTGGAAAGTCCGCTCGGTTTCCGATGATGACGCAATAGTTTCAGATCTTATGCCCAGCTACCTGGTGCACACATCGGTCCACGGCGAGTTAAATGCTTAACGTTCATTTTCTCGCCATGTAATTTTGCATTTTGCACTCMAAATCATGAGGTAGTTAGAAAATCTGAAGATTTGTAGTTATTTGGAAGAAAATCGTCGTTTTCTTTTGTTTTTAGGTAAAAAAGGAGCAAAATTATATTTGTCACGTGACCAGTGTATCATACCTTGTCAGAGACTAGTTTGTATCCCGCGATTGACGTATTCACCCGCAGCGCGCGCCGATTCGATAACATACCGCACCCGCGAGGAACGGCAGGCGGTGTTGGACACAGCGTGAAAAGGATCCTGGGTTAAAATTCAAAAATGGTTTTATTTGCCACTGACCTTTGAGCTGTGAGGAGCACCGTCGGAGTTATTGAAAGGCAAAATAAAGGCGGAACCTGAGAAAAACTTAAAACGTATCCTGAAAATATTAAGTAAAAACTCATAATAGAGCTCAGTAGTATTGCGAAAAAAGAAAGCTAGAACACTGAAACCTTATGAAAAGATCGGATTTTTCGAGCAATTGTGAGAAAATTAAGTTCGTTTTATTACGAGAAAGCACAAACATACCTTACGGCGGTCTCCGAAAAGACAATCAGCGATATGAATGACACTCATGTTTTGCAATTCCAAGCAACAATCCTTTGTTTGACATCATAAAATGTTGCAAAAATGCAGAAAAGGGATTGACTTTAAAACTGTCAATATTTCAAAAGTGAAGTTGACCTTGACTATGCACTTGATATTATGATATTTGGATATTTCAACAATTCTCATAATTTTTGCAAAAGGCTGTATTGGAAGTAGTATAAATATATGCATATATAATCAGTGACCTGCCTTAGAATAGTTTTAACTAGTTGCATCAGGTCACTGAAATCCACAAATGTATCTAATATATAAGAATATATAGTAATAAATAAATAAATAAGAGGTGACGCTCGCGTCAAAAGTTGTTCAAGGTCAAAATTTTGGCGGGAAACCTCGGCCGCAAGAAATTTAATTTGACTTTGTTTTTTGTTCAAATTCTTTATTATTACGCTTTTATATTCTTTTAACTTACCACAAACATGGTACAAACACATATTGAAATATAACCCATGATAAATATCGATAAAAATAAGTAAAATTGAGAGCATAATTTCTACGAAGAATCAAAATCGCTAATAGTAGTTGTTTCAAAAGTGAATAAATACTGCTGCGCCATCGTGCGCCATGCAACCAGGACATTAAGARWTTATTTCTCGTTTTACATTGTTAATATCAAGACAATTGATTAAATATTTCGATCACAACTATGAAAAACGTCTGGCAATGTCAAAAATGTTACAACATCCACAAAAGTATAAAATATACTACCGATTTCTTCTGTAAGTTCTTTGTCAAACAGCGCTTCAAAATTCATCTAAAAACGCATTTTTTTTTACACACATGTCCAGAACTGGGCCGTCGCCATCTCCGCTTTTGAGATTCCCGCCAAATTCAAAATGGAACAACATGATTGGTCAAAATTAAAACCCAGGATCCTTTTCGCGCTGTGTCCTACATGGCCTGATCGAACGGGATCATTGACGTAATACCACAGGCAACCCACAGCGCACGCCGATTCGATAACATTAAATTCTTTTCTTTCTCTCAAGCAATAGTTGTGTAGCCTATGTGTGTGCACCATCTATCGAGTCCATCCCTCCCTATCGTTTTTTTTTTTGTATGGACTTCGAGAGCTTTCGTAAACAGTCGTAACGCTCGAGGTTTTTCCGATCATTGACCGATAATAGAATTTCGCTCCTCGCCGTCGCTTCGTCGCTGCGATGAAACTTTGTTGATCTTTCACATATTTTTCTGGTTTCCTTGTAGTTTTTGTTGGAAAGCTCCATGTCAGTATTTTGGAAATTGAWTACTTCTTGAAAAAGATGGGACAGTGCACTGTTAGGAACAATTAGTTTAAGACAAAGCATGTTATTCAAGACACTTTACAAAGATTTTAGTCACCTTGAAAACGGAAGCAGATAGACGTCGTGGAATTACAGGTTTTAGAGTTATTTTAGTTATTTGCAATGCCCAAGAATCAAGCTGATGGAGTGAATAGTTGAAAAAGATATAACATATCTTCAATTAGAGTTTTAGCCAGGYACAAAAGACCTCGAATATCAAAGAATTACTGTAAAAGCTACTGTAACTCCCGAGCCGAGTTTAACTGTTCTATGATGCGATTGTTTACAGGCGAGTTCGTAATGTGATATTTCGTATATAGAGATCGGAGGGCGATCGGGAGACGAAGGCAAACTTCTGACATGAAAAAAAAACAACTGCAACAAAATTATACGCGCTGCATTTTCTGACTCGTGACCCGGCCTAGGGCCTGKCCACGAGTAAAAAGTGTAGAGCCGACTCTTTATACAAGCCTTATGTACGATGTCTACATCAAACTAGCTCCTCCTAACATAGTCAAGTCCTGGCTTCCTTTCCACCCGCTCCAGGACTCGCGGGGAAAGAGAGTCAAGTATAATTTACATGTGCACGTGCAAAACAAGGCAATCAGATTAATGATTACTAATTTTCCGCGAGTTCTGAAGCGGATAGAAAGGAAGCCAGTACTGGACTACTCCTAATATTAACAGCCTTATCACCGTTGCCAATGAATTCCAGGCCCGATTCTTTATAATATAAGATTCTCCAAGGTTAATAGCTTCTATCATAAATCTTCTCGTCTGAAAATTCCAAAACCAATTCGTTTTCCAGAATGGGTGTAAGATTGTGGAACCAGATACCAACTCTTGTAAACAAAGTCGCTCAAACTGAGCGTGGTTACTCCATGTATTTAAATGCAGCAAATGTAGCTAAAATCGTTTTTTGCAGTTGAATGCAGTACATGTGGTTTTCGTTTGTTCTATCGTGCGATTTTGTAATCGCGCGTTTGATTTCAGACCAAAGTGCACTCCACTCAGTTCAATTACCATTACCAAACTCATTAATAATTCATAATGTCATTAGCCAATGATATACTGAGAATCTAATCACGGGAGTGCGGGGCTGATTATCATTCAACGTTTTCCTGATACAGACCTAATATTAATAAAACTTTAGTTCTGTATCAGTGATACAGAACTAATGTTTTATTAATTAGGTCTATATCAGAAAAACCTTGAATATATAATAATCAGCCCCCCACTCCCCTGAAAATATTCAAAATGTTTAAACTCCCGTGAAATCAAACACAATTAAAACACACTGAAAAATCAATATTGTAGCAATGCCGTTTCGTTTCCTCGCGATTTACTCGATCGTCGGATAAGCTTCGCTGTTTTTCTTCGCGCCTGGTCTTGTATGAATTTGACCAACCAAAAAAATCAAMGAATCGGCGTTCAAGTCATCAAGACTTTTGTGAGCATCTTGGAATGACTCGCTGTTCTTAAAACTGAAATTGGTGCTCTCATTTATGGCTTTCTTGTTCGCACGGTCTTTTTGCCAGTTGCAAATACTTTGTGTATACATTTACTTATAAATGCGTTTTTGTTTTTGTAACGTCTTTGTGTTCCCTGAAGATCACCGCTAGGTCGAAAGCTTGGAATAAATCGTTAAAATTATTCATGGTTGATTTTCCAAACTACTAAATAATTATCAGTTGTTTTTGCATACTTTCGTTTTTAGCTCTTTTGAGCGTTTTTAGCAACATTTTAGAGTCATTTAACACGAGACAACTTTTTGCCCTCGTCTGTCCGTCACGTCATCCTATTGTGACTTCAGGTGTTGTTGAGTACAGACTTGTGGGTATCGTTCCTTGAGTTGCTCGATAACAAAAGTCCTTAATGAGGTTACCTAAACGCCGAGTTAGGATCTCGAGTTGGATTTCGAGTTGGATCTCGAGTTGGATTTCGAGTTGGATCTCGAGCTGGATTTCGAGTTGGATTTCGAGTTGGATCTCGAGTTGGATCTCGAGTTGGATTTTTAGCAGGATTCTGAGTTTTCTATAAAACACGGTATTTTTTAAAAAAAATTTCAAACTAAGACTAGTGATCAGCACTACGGAGAACTGAATAGTTGCAAACTTTTTTATCACCTCTTAACGGAGGGCTTCTTCAGGGAATAATTTGTACACTATTTACTAGTAATTACT